CGCGTGATACTGTGACATGCCCACCGGGGTATGCCGCGAAATACCTCACCCATTTTGAATGGCTGCATCTGTAGTTAGCCAAATTTAAACTAACCAATACTATTTTTTAAATCTATGTTACTAATACTGAGGATTCTGATACACCTAAATAATGACCAGGAAAAAAATCCAATTTGGTATATATTGATTTATATTTGGTATATATTTACTTTGGTATATATTTAATACTTTCATTTTTCATATACCATTACATCTAAACTAATTTTGAATAGATGAATACTGGAAAAAATACTGAAACATATAACAAAAATGTCATTAAATATACTCCAGATATTTTCTAACTAGTACTTATTCTATATGAGACTTTTTAAGGTTGATTGAGCACTTAAAAGCTATTTTTATTTTAAACTGTTATTTCTGTCACTGCCAAAATGTTGTCCTTTTTTATTAATTTGTTTAAACGTTCTTTGATCAGTGAAGATTTTTTCAACATTTTTTGCAATTTCTTTAATATTTTTTAATACAATTAAGTAATCAGATCATGAGCAGATCACATACAAAATGCTGATTATTAGTATTCATTAACACAGCAGTTGTAGTTACCAGGTCTTTATATCTGCTGTTTTATTATAGCATTTATATGTTATGAAGTCTTTCAGGACCCTATGCAGACGCCACATTCTAGAAGAGAGTGAACACACAAAGGGGTGAGACAAGGACGTGGGCTGGTAGAGGAACCGGGGGGGATGGGGGGGTCATGACGAAGGTGCTCCGTGGGGTATGGTCAAGGCAAAAAGTTCAAAAGGGAGTCCAAAGGGAAATCCAGTGCAGGCTAAGGTCCAGGGTGATAAATTAAAGACGAAAAAAACAAAGTTAAAATCCAGAGCGGAATCCGGCAAGGGGTTGTAGACAGACATGACAAAGTTAAAAACTGGAGTGGGATCCGGGAAAGAGTTGGCTTTTAAGAAAGGGGGAACAGAACCAGGCGCTCTAGGTCCCGGGCTTGGCTGGTTCAGGACACCTAGGAGGCGAATGCCACCTGAGCCGCGGACGTAGGGCGACTCGGTGATAGGCGAGCCTCCAGGTGTCTGTGTTCCGATGCACAGCCCGGAACAGAGTGAGCGTCTGGCTTTTAAATGTGTGCTGGAACAGGGAGCAGGTGCACAAAATCAACTAAAAAGTGAACGAGCCGGAGTACCCTTAAGGGGGAGGGACTACAATTGTGACAAGTATGTCTTGACTATGCACTTACTGTATCTCACCTCTACTTAAAACCGCCTGTAACATTAAAAAATAAGTTTTAGCTTTTAGCTTGCTCTTATACTGGGCCTCATTGAAAGCCATCCTATTTTCATAATCTTCAAGGCGTTTATCATTCACATATCAAAACTAATACAAATTTCCATGTGTAGATTGTATTGTACATGTCTTAGTTGGCAGAAGTTGCATCCATTAATGGCAATTTCAGCTTCACTACAATGAGAGAACATTTCATAAAGCAGCAATACATATTTGATTATCTCTCCTTTCTTCTTCTGTATGATGTATTGTCCATTTAAAAAACAAATATCTTCTGTAGTAGTATTTTTGTGTAGTTTATTGCCAGTAAGTACTGTGAATTCCTCAAAATTATTGCCATGATTTTGGTGTTGGTGATGTTGTTGATGATGCTGTTGTCTGAACTGCAGTGTTTTGGGTAGTTGGGTTCACTGGTGCTCTCCTTCCATAAAATTGTATTTGATTTCAGTATCACAGCACAAATCAATGTTTTTCCATGATTATCTGACAAGTGTGGCAGTATTCTGGATCCTAATAAAAAATTTAAATTCCTTTTGATAGTGTTAGCCTTGATCACTGAGTTTTTAGGATACCGTGTTGCAAGAGATCTTGGGCATACCCTAACTTCGTGATGACCATAAAAACCTTTCCATGAGAAATGTTGTCCTTTGCTGTTAGTTGTCATCTACATCAGGATTGAACCTCAAGTCATCTTTAAGTTCCTTGTGTCCACAGACTATTTTTTAAACATCAAATATTCTACCAAGTATAAAGGGCTTCTGCATCACAAATACCCTCTATTTTGGTTATAAAGCTAATGAGTTATCAACTATAATGTTCTGATGTTTTGTGCTAACTTATTTTGTGAACATTGATACACCTTCATAACAAAAACTGCAGCTCATTTTATAATAATAATAATAATAATAATAATAATAATTCCTTATATTTGTATAGTGATTTTGTGGTCATTCCACTCAAAGTGGTCTACAGGTAATGGGGACTCCCCTTCACTACCACCACCAATGTGTAGCCCCCACCTGGATGATGAGCCATAGTAGTGCACCTGTACGCTCACCACACACCAGATATCACTGGGGAGGAGAACAGAGTGATGAAGCCAATTCATAGATGGGAATGATTAGGAGGCCATAACTGGTAAAGATCAATGTGTAATTTGGCCAGGAAGCCGCGTTAACACACATACTTTTTTCAAGAAACGCCCTGGGATTTTTAATGACCACAGATAATCAGGACCTCAATTTTACATCTTATCCGAAGGACAGCACCTTTTTACAATATAACGTCCCTGTCACTGTAACGGGACATAGGACCCACACAGACCACAGGGTGAGCACCTCCTACTGGCCCCACTAACACTTCTTCCAGCAGCAACCTGACAGTTAACTAAACCTGTAAAGATAAAATGGCAGAAAATTGTCATAGAAAAGAAAAGCCCTGTATTTAAAGACGCATTTCCTCTTCTTCCCAGCAGAGGCTAAAACAGGGCAAGGATAGTTACAATGGGGCAATGTAAAGTAGTGGCAGACCATAGGCTCAGCCGAAGTATATCCAACAGCTTAGCCCGGTTAGTGATTCGTTATCAATTTGTCATTTTTATACCTTTCTTAAACGAGCAGGCGTGTTGAAAGAGAATCTTATCAGAACGAAGTCGGGGTAAGGGCTCAGCTGATGTCTTTTATGACATATGTGATCTACTGTGGTTACCTTCAACGACATATTTGCAGTGTTTTACTTTTTCACGTGGGATCCGCAGTCATATGCTAAAACAGCACAAATAATAACAGCAACAACCAGAATTCTTACCCCCCTCTACCTTTACGTCTGAAATAGCTTTAATATTTGCAGTAAGTAGAGGCGAGATGTATAGAGAATGTTCCTACTTCTAAGGGGAAGTTGGATTCTCTGAAATTCCCACAAATGAAGAACATTAAGCGCAAATAGCATGGAGAGACAAGCAACTAAATTCAGATCTGGGAGCGGAAAACGCTACTTTAAACAAGCATCTAAGAGTATACCGAAAAAAAAAAGAAAACTAAAAATCGTGATTAGTGTACTGTATATTTAAATCGCAGCAAATCAGTCGGAGAACATAAAAGTATGATTTGCAGTTTTCTTTGTTTCTCAAAATGTATTTTTCATATTGCGTATGCACTGCTCAGAAGAAAAAAAACTGTCAAACGTCAATAACAATTGTTGAATCGGAGTTACTATTCGGGTGTGTTTTTTTTTTGTTCAGGCTCCATTACAATGACAGCAATCGGTAATAAGCTTATTTTATCTTTTCCAGATTTTGTGGGTAGAGGCAGGGGTGTATTACAGCCTCGACAGGAGCATGCTCATTTTAATATCTTCTCTTTAATGTTGTCATTTGGAGATGGCTACTTAATTACTAGATTTTTGAATAAAATCGTGAACCATGCCACTTGTTCAACAACGATATAGTTAATGCATTTTAAAAAATAGAGCAACATTGTATTAACTGCGATGTTTTCTCCGTTCAAATGCATTGCGGTATACTTTAACATGCATCAATTCTAGACATGACAATTACTCAGAACTAAATATTCGTTTCAATGCCGAATTTTGAGTTTCACACACAATTCTTCATAAGTTAGACTGGATACTAATATCGTATTTAAATATGTCATAGCTTGTGTTTCAGACCTTCTGTCTTAAAGGATACCAATGTTTTTTTTTACGCATTGCAATTAAGACAAATAATAACTCCGTTTGTTTGGCGCATAGAAATAACCAACTAGATTTAAAACAGTGAGAAGTACAGTAGTTAATGTATGGACATTCAAGCCTCCAAGTAAACCTGTGAAATGCACAGATCATAAAACGTGCTTGTTTTCCAGGATGTCCTATGCATGGATGATTAAAGGTGGATGGGAATCTGCGTTTAATGCCACTATTTCTTATAATCGTCTGCCTTACAACACAAGGGGACCCGCTTGATGCAAATCTGATCCGGACACTGTTGTGTCTGCTGAAATGCTAAAATTAGCCAGAGGGGAAGTGATCTGACCAGCATATCGATTCAGTTCAAACACAGCATATCTGCGATCACCGTGATAACAAAAATCCTGTAAAGCTCGCATCTTTTCAGCATTTTGCAAGGGAACAATTGCAAACAGTGTTTTGATGTTGGTTAAACTACGCGCATGCGTTAGTATTGACGGAATTATTACAGTGCCTAGGACTAAGTTGCATTCCTTGAATCTTCGCTCAAAGACATTTCTTTAATCAAAGTTAGGAATGTGGAGAGTTCAAGACCGAGGATGTTTCGGGATTTTATCTCTTTCCTTGCTGGTCGCCATGGTCTGCAGTACTCAAAGGTGAGATCGTTTTGATCTATAATCTTTTTATCATGTTTTCTCTGCCACACCGTCTGCAGTTTGACGAAATTCTGATACAAATCCATATTTCTTCCCTTTAGCGCAAATGAGCCCAGCAACATGTCATATGTGAAAGAAACCGTCGACAAATTGCTCAAGGGATATGACATTCGTTTAAGGCCTGATTTTGGAGGTAAGTTATTACCTTTAATAGAGTTCTGTACGCTTGTTAGTCATTACATAGTATGAAGTCAATGTTTATAGTTTGTTGTAAGTAAAGTCATTACACAGTTAAGCACAAAATACCAAAGTTAACAATAAACATATTAATAACCCGCAATGCATTTGCCATTTAAAGGTCCCCCTGTAGATGTTGGGATGAGCATAGATATCGCCAGCATCGATATGGTCTCAGAAGTCAATATGGTGAGTATATTTACTGTAGATATTAAGCAAGTCTTTCATGTAGACGACATAACACGCAAAAGCATATTAAACAACCTGCTAGTTCTGGATTAGGAATGCTTAAAGTAAATATCAATTACTATTGCCTAAGGCGGGGTTTTCTTGTGTTCCCGTGCTTTAAAAGTATTTAAAACACTGTTCCTTTTTCACTTTCTGTTTTAAAAAGTCCTGAGAATGAGGCACGTTTTGAAGTATTTAGGATTTTTGTTTTTAATGCGTCTAATGCCGCCATCTGCTGATTATTACTATCACTGCTTTTCGGTACCCTGGACAGCTGCACTCCTTTATTTCATAAGCATAAAGTTCCCTTAGTTGTCACAGCCAGTGAAGTTCGAAATTTAGAGTGCTTAATCAGGAGAGAAATTATGTGTAGTGTTCAACTAAATGCTGAATCAACACGAAATGCGCCTACAGTTGAACAGTTCACACATGGGCGCGTCCATACACCCCTGTTAGAGTGATCTAAAGTCCTGAAACAAATAACATCAAAAACAAGCAGCTTTAGTAGCTTGGCCTACACATGTGATGAATGCTAATACTAAAGTGTATTACTGAATTCCCAAAAAGGTGTACAGAAGTAGACCAGGTGTATATTTCAACAGTTTTGTTTGAAACTTTCTGTTTGATATATATCCAAGAGAATGGCTTGATTTACTATTTTGAAGTGCATAGTTCTAAAGCCGAACACACATTGAACTTGTAAAATGTGATGTTAAAGGCTGAAGTGCTAAATTTAAAGATTTCTAAATTAATATGGCTATTTCTAATATTTTTTAAGATTGAAATTTGGAGCATATGAAACAACCTGCTAATTTTGGACTAGGAATGCTTAAAGTAAATATCAATTAATATAGCCTAAGTCAGAGGGGAGGAGGAGGGGCACTACTGTTTCAAGTACAAATATTGTATCTTTCTTACTTATGGTTAGCTTCCTAATAATTTACGTTTGTAGGTTTTGCTCTACATCATAGAACAAGCCGCACTTCTCCATCTTGTTTATCAAGTAGAGTTTTTAGTGAAAGTGATAATACCCTTATGTAGGCAGTTGATAAAATGGTTGTCTATGATTGTGCAGTCAGGCACTTCATTTGAGCAATTTAACACAATACTATTATGTAAAAAACTTGGACCTCACGCTTTGCTCTAAGACCATAAATAATCTGAGCACATATAATCAGTTAAAATACTTGATGGGAATGGGTCCTAGAAACCACCTTGATAATAATAAGAATAAAAGGAAAAAAACATATTTTTAGGATTTATAATCTGGGTTTAAAAGAAGATATGTTTATTTTGTGAGTCTTCTACAAACTCTTGATAATGAAATTCTTATACATACAAACCACAAATATATCCATCTTGGTGGTAGAATGTACGGTCTTGTGCTGCCTTTAAAAAATGTATGTGTTCTGAAACTTTACTTCAAACTGTTCAGTTAGGTTTCAGTCAGAAGACTGCTGAAGTTTGTTGAGAAAGATACACTGTGTGGTTTCTTGTAAACATTCCATTGCTAGCACGTGGTGCTTGACATGGGGGAATTTTCTTCTTGAAACTGAAAATACATAATTACATTATACATTATTATGACATGCATACTAATGTTTCCTGTGGTTGGAAGGTTGCCATTTTGTATCCCATGGTCAGCAGAGGAATCCTACTCTGTTGGGCCCCTGAGCAAGGGCCTTAATCCCAACTACTCCAGGGGCTGACCCTGCTCTCTGACCCCAAGCTTTTCTCCCTGTCTGTGTGTCTCAAGACAAAATCCTAATACAAGAAATTGTAAATGGCCAATAAAGTGATCTGATTTGATGTACTATATGTATTAGTTCAATACATAAACATTTCCTAAACCGTGTTTACAGGTGTTAGAAATCACAGTTCACACAACTATTGGATACACAGTCTGTAAACCGTTAATGTCATCATATTCATGTTAGTAGGAGAATCTAAAACAACCACCTAATCTACTGGCTGTACACTAAACACTCATATTTTGTGACAGTATCTTGACTAGTGAAGTGCAAATTCCCCCCAAAATAAAAGTAGCAGACTTCGATAAAATATACTATTGCCATTTGAAGTAAAATGCATAGCATAATCCTCTATTTGATCAAAATAGAATGGTAAAGCTGGAGTTCATATACTTTATACCTTGGAATTTGTTAAAATGCTTAGAAATAAAATAAATTAAATACAGATTAAAAAAAGCAGTTCTGATTTTCAGTAGTTTAATATAAGAGCAAACCAAGCAACATACTGTATTATATACTGTACTGTATTTTCTTAATAAGTTGAAAAACTTATTAAACTCTCCATAGATGCAGGTCAGAAAGTTAAGTACTTATGTTTCATTTTAAACTTCAGAAATAAAAATATATTTTTATTGTTAGATTTCAATATACTGTATGTAGCACATTTTCTTTTTAATAACAGCCTGGTCATTAAGTGAGCTGTTGAATCTCCACAGGAATTAAAAGTTAAGTACCCATGTGTTGAAAATATAGGGATGAATTTATAATACACTTTACATTCTATTTGTAAATGGAAAAGTATTTAAAAAATAAGGCATGTATTTACAGATTTTTCAAACCTACTGATGTTTTGCCATGGTAACACAAGACATAAATTTTGTATTAAGTTTGAAAATTCATAAACAGCATGGAACATTCTGGCAATGTTGCACACAGCTACATCTTTATCTACAGTACATTCACATGTGAAGCAAATTGCTCTTCACTTAAAAGAATACATTTGCATGGAAATCTTTAGAGGATAGATCTGAGCATGGTTTTGAACAGACCATTCTATTTGTTGAAGCTTTATTTAAAAATAATGAACTGATCTGCTTAATGTGCCCACAACTACTACTGACTGCTGAGCTATTGTGTCAGTAATTTTGCTTTCTGTTGTTTCCCTTGAGCCCATTTTGATCTACAGTATTTTCTCTTCTTCTTTTAGCTACCGAGTATCACATTACATTTGGTTGTATTGATGTTTATAAAGAGACATTCAATAAAGAGCAACAGCATTCAGTATAGCAAGAAGGCCATGTTATTGTGATTACAAAGGACAGTTTTCAGTTTTGTAGGTACAATCTGCTCTTAGGTGCCCTACTGTATTTTTCCTTATCAATTGCCCACAAAAAACATAACAAGAGCTAATTATATGTTATATAGGCTGGATTAATGAGCTTATCTAAAATGCATTTAGTAAAAATTGCTAAAAAAAAGACACTTAAAAATAGATTTTTTAAGCCAGCTCATTAATTTAAGTAAATTTATTGTAAGACTTTCAATTTTACTTACTTTTAGGTAATATTCTCTGCCTCTCTTTGCAATTGTGCAGTTTACTACATTTAAATAACATTGCTGAAGCTATATACAGATGTCATTACTGAAAGAGAATTCTATAATTGTTTTATGTGATAACATTGTGTCCACAATTAATAAATTAATAATAATTGTGTCCAGAATTAATAAAAATGTAGAAAATTAAGAAAAACGTTTGAAAACAATACCCTAAATTAATTTAACTCCGGTCTGATTTTTTTTATCTGATCTTAATTACTTGAATGAATTATTTGGAAAAAAGGTCAAATCACATGTTTTTGTGGATCATAAACAGTTGCATTTTCAAAGACTCCTAAATTAAATCTGTATAAATCTGAACCAGGAGGACTAGAGTTGTCCACTTATGCCCTAAGTAAAGTTGTGTATTAATGAATATTATTAATTGTGTATTAAGTAATGTAAATAGGTAACTTTGACAAAAATGGGTTTCAACCCTCTTATTTTACTATTGTATATGTTAAATATTATTTTCCAGTTAAAAATATAGAAACGGCTCTGCTTAATTATAGTCTGAGCACAATAATCCAGAGACTGGTACAGAGACATGAATTTGATTTTTGTCATTAGTTAACTGTGATTGTTATTACCCATATAAAAAACAATAGGGAAGCACTGCAGGACTTGAATAGGTTTGCAGTTAACCAGAGTTTCATTGTTTTGTTAGTACTTAGTGAAAGAAACCAAAAGTTTGGCTTTTGGTTTCTTATATTGAGAAAAATTGTTGATGAATATACACATTTGGGAGGACACATATAGCACAGTACAAGTAGACTCCATGTTTTGCATGAAGATGTGAGCTTGAAGCAATGAATTAAATTGGTGATTTTTTTTTCTCTGACAGAGATTATATAAAATTCATTTTTAAGATAAAAATACTAGCTAGATGGGATAACTAGCTTAGTCATTGTTTTTAAAATACATTTACAACTACAGTAACAAATACAATTAACAAAAAATACATTATATGAAGCTGGAAAAAGATTCTTGAGAATGGACCACTTAGTAATTTCCCAGAACTGGTTAATAGTTGAAGCAGATAAAAAATGTTTTCCTTCAGAAATCTGAGGTCACTCTCAATCACACATCAAGGAATCTGTCCACATAATCCAATGCAAATAATTTTCAGACAGAAAAAAAATCTGTCTGAGTGACGACCAAAGTAGGCATGTTAAAACAACTTGTAATTCTGACATATTACCGAACATAACAGAATTGTATTACTCTCTCTAAGGATGAAACAGTTATTACAAATAAATGACTGGTATTGAAAAATACACCTTTACTGGTGTTTATTTTTTAAACGATTATTTATGTCAAAATATTTGTAGTTGTTTATGTCTAATCATTGTGCAATTTTTAAAATGTTAAACTGTAAAGTAGAAGAAACATAACTGAAGTCATTATTGTTAATCTTAATTGTGCAGCAAAGACAACATAAAAAATGAAAGATAAAAGCTCCTATTATGACTTTGCTTTGGAACACTCCAAAGGGATGAACATTACTTGCTACAAATCTCAAGCATGGCCTGTAATCTCAAGAATACTGAATGAAACTATAATTTTTTATACATATCAAGAGGAGCTCACTGTATAAATAGGATCCTTTAGGCT